AGACGGGGTTTCACCATGTTGGTCAGGCTGGTCTTGAACTCCCGACCTCAGGTGATCCACCCGCCTTGGCCTCCAAAATGCTTGGATTACAGACGTGAGCCACCATACCCAGTCACAATCTTAATTTTTAACGTAAAACTTGGGTAGTTTTATTTTTGTTCTGTAAAAATACCTCAGATTGAATCAGTGGATTTAGTATTTCTTCCTCAAATGATAAAGATCATATGTGTTACTTAGATGTGAATTTGAATGTCTTGTTTTAAGCTGTGAGATTTTCATGTTTTTTAGATGTGCTTAATTTTTTTTTTTTTTCTTTTTTCAAAGATGGGGTTTCTCCATGATGGCCAGGCTGGTCTTGAACTCCTGACCCCAGGTGATCCACCCACCTCGGCCTCCCAAAGTGCTAGGATTACAGGCGTGAGCCACCGCGCCTGGCGATGTGCTTAATTTTTAGGTGTTAACTGAATATTTTTGTGTAAGCTTCTAATTGCACAAATACATATATTCTTGTGTGTTTTCTTAGGTGACGGTGATAAAGTAAAGTGCTTTCACTGTGGAGGAGGGCTAACTGATTGGAAGCCCAGTGAAGACCCTTGGGAACAACATGCTAAATGGTATCCAGGGTAAGATACTCAGTTATTCATTCATTCACAGGCAAGTTGGATAGCATGCAGTGGGAGACTTGAATTACTTTTTACCTCAACGATTTCTACCTTCACTATGGCTTGAAATTCATGCCAGATTTATAAAAATGGGGAGAAAACCCACCTAAGCCTTCTCTGATGCCAAAACATCCACTGCTTATGTATCATATCTATGACATTCAAATTATCCCATTTATTTTTTATTTTATTTATTTTTTGAGACAGTCTCACTCTGTTGCCCAGGCTGGAGTGCAGCAGCACAGTCTAGGTTCACTGCAACTTCTGCTTGCCGGGTTTAAGCAACTCTTTTGCCTCAGCCTCCCAAGTAGCTGGGATTACAGGCACCCACCACCACACCCAGCTAATTTTTGTATTTTTAGTAGAGACAGGGTTTCACCATATTGGCCAGACTGGTCTCGAGCTCCTGACCTCAGGTAATTGGCCCGCCTCAGCCTCACAAAGTGCTGGGATTACAGGTGTTAGCCACTGCACCTGGCCAGATTATCCCATTTCTTTTTTTAGTTTTTATCTTTGAGACGAAGTTTTACTCGTCGCCCAGGCTGGAGTGCAGTGGCACGATCTTGGTTCACTGCAACCTCCGCCCCTTGTGCCTCAGCCACCCTAGTAGCTGGGATTACAGGTACCTGCCACCATGCCCAGCTAATTTTTGTATTTTTAGTGGAGACAGGGTTTCACCATGTTGGTCAGACTGGTCTTGAACTCCTTACCTCAGGTGATCGTCCTGCCCTAGCCTCCCAAAGTGCTGGGATTACAGGCATGAGCCACCACACTTGGCCTCTAGGTTATTCCATTTCTAAATACAAATTAGGCAATGTGCACTCTTTTGTTGTTGGAAGTAGGCTCTTTTATGATTGGCATGAGAGCCCATGTTGCCAAGGAGATTCCTTAAGAAGCCATCATACCCCTAGGAAATATAAATGTATCTCATTATCTCTATGACACACAACTGTTCACATTTTAAAATCTCTGGGTAGGGTGTGGTGACTCACTCCTGTAATCCCAGCACTTTGGGAGGCTGAGGTAGGTGGATTGCTGGAGCTCAAGAGTTCGAGATTAACCTGGGCAACATAGTGAGACCCTGTCTCTACAAGAAATACAAAAAAATGTAGCCAGGCATGGTGGCATACACCTTTAGCCCCAGTTACTTGTGAAGCTGAGGTGAGAGGATTGCTTGAGCTGGAGGCAGAGGTTGCTTGAGCTGAGATGACACCACTGCGCTCAGTGCCACTGCACTCCAGCCTGGGCAAGAAAGTGAGACCCCATCTCAAAAAAAAAAAAACAAAAAAACAATATTTCGGAACAATCATTTGAAAAGAAATCTTAGCCTTAAATAGCCTAAAGAATTCCCTTTTAATAGGCAATTGATTAATTCTCTAACTAAAACCTGTTAAGAAGATTGTCTGGGTGCAGTGGCTCATGCCTATAATCCTAGCACTTTGGGAGGCTGAGGTGGGCAGATCACTTGAGGCGAGGAGTTCGAGACCAGCCTGACCAACATGGTAAAATTCTGTCTCTAAAAATACAAAATACTAAAAATACAAAAATTAGCCAGGCATGGTGGTGCATGCCTATAATCTCAGCTACTGGGGAGGCTGAGGCAGGAAAATCGCTTGAACCCAGGTGGTGGAAGTTGCAGTGAGTCAAGATTGCGCCATTGCACTCCAGCCTGGGTGACAGACCGAGACTCTGTCTCAAAAAAAAAGCCAAGGTGCTAATTTAATAACTTGTTCTAGAAAGATCACAAGTTGATATTTTTTCCTCTACTAACATTAGCAGAGGTAACATAACAAAGGGAATTTGTTTAACCTTAAAATGACAGTCAGATAGGGAACTGGGTAACATTTTACTTTGTGGCTCCTTAGAAGTATTGAAAAACAAGTTAATGGCATTAATAGAATTAATATGATGGAGATTATATCTTTGCTTATACTTCACTAATTTATCAGCTACTAAAGTTTATCCTTTTAATTGTTTAGGTGTAAATATCTGTTGGAACAAAAGGGACAAGAATATGTAAACAATATTCATTTAACCCATTCATTTGAGGAGTGTCTGGTAAGTCTCATTATATAATTTATATTTTCAAATATTATATCATTTGTTTTATAGTTATTTCTTCATGTAAAATTCACAGTATAGTATAAATCAATTTATGTGTACATTACATGAAAACAAAAATTTTAATTTAAAAACAAAATAATAATAAATGTATGATGGGCTTTAAAGGTGAGAGCTAGCCAGGCACAATGTTTCACGCCTGTAATTACAACATTTTGAGAGGCCAAGGAGAGAGGATCACTTGAGCCCAGGAGTTTGAGATCAGCCTAGGCAACATAGTAAGACACTGTCTCTACAAAAAATTTAAAAAACCAATTAGCCAGACATGCGGTACATGCCTGTATATAGTCCAGCTACTTGGGAGGCTGAGGCGGGAGGATTGCTTGACCCCAGAAGGTCAGAGGATGCAGTGAGCCATGTTCACTCCACTGTACTCCAGCCTGAGTGAGAAAGCGAGACCTATCTCTTAAAAAGAGAGAGAGAGAGAGAGAGAGAGAGGCTAAAAAGTGTTTTCTTATTCTTTACCTGAAGTAAATTTGTGAAAAGGGAATCAGGATAAACTGATTTAAGTATTAACGTAGGCAAAAATGGGCTTGAAGAACTAGAATACTAAAAGTCCCTTCGCCTTCTGAAATTAGGTATTTGTATAATATGCTTTGTACTCATAAGTAGTTTTAAACTTTTTACAGACAATATTTAAAATCTCAAAAATGTATCTGAATTGATAGGATGGGCTGAGCGTGGTAGTTCATGCCTGTAATCCCTGCACTTTGGGAGGCCAAGGCAGATGGATCACCTGAGGTCAGGAGTTCGAGATGAGCCTGGCCATTGTGATGAAACCCAGCCTCTACTAAAAATACAAAAAATTAGCCAGGTGTGGTGGTGGGCACCTGTAATCTCAGCTATTTGGCAGGCTGAGGCAGGAGAATCACTTGAACCCAGGAGGTGGAGGTTGCAGTGAGCCAAGATCGTGCCACTGCACTCCAGCCTGGGCAACAAGAATGAAACTCTGTCTCAAAAATTAAAAAAATAAAAAAATAAAAAAATTGATATCATAAACTGGGGTGGCCAAGACACTAGTAATAGGTAGAAAGAACGCTGGACTAAAATGGGAGAATAGAGTTGCCCGAATGGCTCTACCTTAAAGTCATTCATTTTCCCTGGGCCTCAGCTTCTTGTTTGTAAAATGAAGGATTGGATTAGATAATCTTATAACTTCCTTCTAGCTCCATCAGGCTATGTCTCTTGTGAATATTCATATATTGAATTGAAATAAAGCCAATTTATTTTAAATTTATGATTAACTTTTCAAATTGAAATGATTGCCTCTACCAAAAATAATTCTAACTTTTACAATTCATATTTCTGTTATAGGTAAGAACTACTGAGAAAACACCATCACTAACTAGAAGAATTGGTAAATATGCTTGTTAAATTAAATATCCCTTTAATTTAACTTCCAATTTATTATAGTTATTATTTATGGGGTGGAAAGATAGGCATGTTCTTTCAAGGTCATCATAATATATTTATTTGAGATGAGATTACTATAATTTAAAAATTTAGATGGTGAACAGTGGGTCATGCCTGTAATCCCAGCACTTTGGGAGGCCAAGGCAGGCAGATCACTTGAGCTCAGGAGTTTGAGACCAGACTGGGCAACATGGCAAAACCCCATCCCTAAAAAAAAAATATACACACACACACACACACACACACACACACACACACACACACCCCATATATATATATAAAACAAAAATTTTATTAAAAAGAATTTAATGAAGTACTTTTAAATTTCAGTCATAGGCCGGGCACGCTGGCTCACGCCTGTAATCCCAACACTTTGGGAAGCGGAGGCGGGCAGATCACCTGAGGTCAGGAGTTCAAGATCAGCCTGGCCAACGTGGTGAAACCCCGTCTCTACTAAAAATACAAAAATTAGCTGGGCATGATGGTGTGCACCTGTAATCCCAGCTACTTGGGAGACTGAGGCAGGATAATCTCTTGAACCTGGGCAGCGGAGGTTGCAGTGAGCCGAGATCATGCCTGTGCACTCCAGCCTGGCAATAGAGTGAGACTCCATCTCAAAAAGAAAAAAGAAAAAAAATTTCAGTCAGACGTGTCTGTATTAAGAATGTTAGTAGGCCATCAGATAGTTTTTCCAAGTTCAGGAGGAACACTCATAGGCTGTCTCATTACCATTTCTGCTAAAATCACGAGAAAGGGTGAAATGTATTTTTGTCCCTGGGGTTCCTTAAGTAAGCCAGAATTATGAATTCAATGTTATACTAGTGTGCCATTACCATGATAAGCCCTAATCCACCTTCTTCTTTACCCCATACTCTCATTGTACCTTCCCCAGCTTCTTCACAGACGTGTAAGGTTTGTTTTGTTTACCTCCTGTTACCTCATGGAGAAGTAAAGCTTTTAAAATTCAGAAAGTGGGCAGAGAAAGATAATAATTGAGCAAGGAAGACCGTTGTTATCTCCACTTTTCTATTTTCTTTCTTTTTTTTTTTTTTT